CTTTCTGATAAATGATCAGAACAAAATATACTTATCAGACTAAAGAACAAAAGAATTTGATGGAGTCCTTATAGCTCAGTTGACGTCTGTAATTTTGTACAAAGCAATGGTATAAAATTATAGGCACTCCTTTAAGTTTTTGTTTATATCTCAAATATGTTGGGTGGTTAAATACATAAGTATTCTTTTTCAGGATCTCTGTTGGCTGGCTTTGTTTTCAGTCTCATGAATTTTAATGACATTTGAGTTATAGAAGTTTGAAATGCATGAAGCATTTAGAACTTTCGATTCATGTTTTACTAACTGACTAGATTGAATTTGGTCATTTTATTCTCAGAAGGTAAGAAGTTTGATAAAAGAAGGGTTAGGGAATCTGCAAAGTAGCCAAGTAGATTAAGGGAGTAATTAACTTATTGATTAAAATTTAGCAGCAGATAGCAGGCACTTAGAAAATTAGAATTAAATGTGGCATTTAAAAAAGAATCCAATTATGTCAGGCATCCTCTATAGGATTTTATATTCTTCATGTTTGGAAAAAATAGAGAGGCAGAATGCTTTATTTACTTACTAAATTTTATTAAAATTCTTAAAAAATGAAGGATAAGAATGTTGAAAAGGTGGCTTTTTTAGTTTCCTACATTACTCGCAAGCCTTTTTCCATGACTTAGAAAGACTATGGTTAAATCCAGAAAGCCTATGTTTTTGGTTATTATTTTAGGACCACTACGGCTCTCTGCCAATACATCTCTGTGCTGTTTGTTATTTTAGGCTATTGCCAGGGTAGATCTTCATGGTCTTGTGAGTTGTTTTATGTCCTTCAGGCTGATCATATACTATTAATAGTTACAGTAATGTTCTTTCCTAGTGTTAACTAATTTTTAGGAATTTACTGGACCAGCAGGCAGCATGGTGGTGAAGGTGCTGGATTCCACATGGCTGACTCCACTGTTCATGTCCTGGACCCAGTGGCCTAAAAAATTATATTGGGCATGTCCCAAATCCCAAAAGGAGAGTGGAGAGATTGCTATTATGTGGGCGTTTCCCTGGGGGCCGATTTCTCATCTTCTCTCTCTCTTTGGTGACTACATGCACCCTATGGAAAAAAAAAATACTGATCTAATTAGTTTAAAAATAGATATTAATTGTTGAATTTCTCATCCAAATATTTCATGTTTTCAGTTAACTCTTACATTGGTTTTATGGTAAATGGCAAGTAGACAATATTGATGAGATATAATCTTTGTACCACTTCAAAAAATTTTAAACTCAAAGAATGGAAACAACCAATCAATTTGAACTTTGCCTCTGTGTTTGAATAATACTGATTTTCTGTGTTACAGAATATATAGTTTTTAAATGTGTATTTTTTTAGAATTTTTTTAAAATCAAAATTTACTATTTATTTTATTTGACCAGAAAGGGACTGAGTGAGTGAGTGACAAAGAGAGAGAGAAAGAAAGAAAGGTGCCAGGTCCAGGACTCAAACCGCGGTCAGCCATGTGGGAGTCCAGTGCCCTTAACCACCACACCACCACACCACCTGCCAGCCCTAATATTTTTGCCTTTTTTTTTTTGGCGGGGTCGGGAGGAGAGGTTTTTTCTATAGGGCACTTGTGCTCACCAGAAAGACAGACAGATAGAAAGTGAGAAATCACCCCCCAGGGAGGATGGCCAAGCTGCAGTCCCTTCTCCATTCTCCTCTCAGGACCCTGGGCCTCCACACCCACTGTGAGTTTAAGCCACTGGGTCTGGAATGCGAACCACGATCAACTACATGGGAGTCCAGCGACATAGCCATTACACCAAGTGCTGGTCCCAATATTTTTGCTTTTTGATATATTCCCTTGGTTTATAATTGAAAGATGGGAAAAGTTGGCAATTCAATTAAATAATTATTACATAGGAAAAACATTGAAAGTTTCTTTTATTTTTTTTTTTTAAGACTAGAGTTTTTAAGGGTGCGTGTGCTTGCCAGAGAAACAGAAAGTAAAAAAATCACCCTCCAGGGAGCATGACCACGCCTCAATCCCTTCTCCTCCATTCTCTTCTCTGGATTTTGGGCACATGCACTCACTGTGAGTTTTAAGCCACCGGGTCTTGGACTTGAACCATGGTAAACTATGTGGGAGTCCAGGGATGTAATCATTACCCCATCTGCTGGTCCCTCTTCTGTTGTTTTTAAATTGACAGAGGGCATATGCACTGGCAAGAGGCAGACAGAGGGAGAAGGGAGAAAGCACCTCCCAGTGGGATGCAGTCACATTGCAATCCCTTCTCCATCTCTTCATTCTTTTGAGATTTGGGGCATGTATGCACACATGACCGGTGTGTTTTTCACGCTACCAGACTGAGACTCTAACCCTGTGGTTGGCCATGTGGGATTCAGCTCCTTCAACTACCAGCCACAGGACTAACCCAAAAGTTTCTTTTTTGTAGTTCTTTTATCTGGTTATTATAGACTGGTTTTGATTCACATCTTGAAATAATGCCTAGATCTTCTGTATTGACTTTGCTTTAAGACTATCTTTGAGTTTATTTTTGTATTTTTTTTCTTGGACTAAGATATAACCAGTTCTAATGGTTATATTAGAACCTGATTATATTAGAACCATTAGAATGGTTATAAATATTCTACATGTGTCTTGCTGAAATTATGAGGTACAAACTTACTTAGTTTCTTTTTTCCTTTTCTTTCTTTCTTTGAATGAAGGAAGGAGAGAGAAATATTTTTGAAAGGGTCTTGTAGTGCTGTGATGCTCCTGCCTCAAGCTCCCCAGTGAGCTCTAGGGTTACAGGCACATGCCTCTATGCCTGGCATGTTTAGGGTGGTAGGAGAGCTGAACCTGGGCCTTCCATGTAGCTTCAGTATTGCACAGTAGGACTGGCCCACAAACTTATTATTTTTTGTTTATTCATTCATTTTATTTTAATTTGACCAGATTGAGATACACGGGGGTGGGGATGGGGAGTGAGAAAGCAGGCAACCAGGTCTGGGACTTGAACCGTGGTCAGCCATGTGGGAGTGTCCAGTGCCTTAACCACCACGACACCTGCTGGTCCCACACAAACTTATTTTTTAAATTGTTTTTTAAAGTGCAGCTTCTCCAAAGCAATATGATGTCTCTTGTGAAGTGACTAGTTTGGGTCAGGTTTTAATTTCTTTTTCTTGGTTTTTTTTTTTTTTTTTTTTTTTTTGAGAGGTTTTTGCTATAGGGCGCTTGCGCTCGCCAGCCGGCCAGAGACATAGAGACAGACAGCGAGAAATCACCCCCCAGGGGGGATGGTCACGCCGCAATCCCCTTCTCCTCCATTCTCCTCTCGGGATCTTGGGCATGCACGCACACGTGCCCGGCGTGAGTTTTAAGCCACTGGGTCCGGGACGCGAACCGCGGTCGACTACGTGGGAGTCCAGCGACATAGCCATTACGCTAACTGCTGGTTCCCTAGGTTTTAATTTCTTCTGGAAATTGAATGGTAAATTGGGGCCCATTAGCCCTGCTTTCCCTCTGTTCCTTCTAACTCTGCACTGCAGGTACTGGGGTGGTGGTTCTGAAGGGCAAGGTAGCCTCTTCTCCCACAGTGTAGGCTGTGCAGCGGCTTTGGTGGCTGCTGGGACCAAGTGGCTCTGCTTTCCTTTTGTTCTAGATGGATGGAGGGTAGGGCAGTGGCAGCAACAGAAAGGTAGCCCCTCCTTTATACTAGCTCTGGAATTAAACTTTTTTTTTCTTTTTGAAAAGTAATTAATTTTATTTATAATCATTATTATTATTATTTTGCGACAGGGCATGTGTGCTCACCAGAGAGATAGAGACAGAGAGAGAGAAAGTAAATCACCAGGTCCACGACCCAGGCCATGTGGGAGGCCATCCCCTTGACCACCACTCCCATCTGCTGACCCCTCTCAGCATTTTTTTGATTGGCTTTTTTTTTTTCAATTTTTTGAACCATGTGATTATATTAAAAATAAATTTAAATTTTGTTTGGGAACCAGCAGTTAGCATAATGACTGTGTCGCTGGACTCCCACGTAGTCGACCGTGGTTCGTGTCCCGGCTGGTGGCTTAAAACTCACGCCAGGCACGTGTGCGTGTGTGCCCAAGATCCTGAGAGGAAAATGGAGGAGAAGGGATTGCAGCGTGACCATTCCCCGTGGGGGGGGAGTTCTCGCTTTCTGTCTCTATGTCTCTGTCTGTCTGTCTGGCGAGCGCACGCGCCCTATAGCAAAAACCTCTCCAAAAAAAAAAAATTTTTGTTTTAAAAATGCATTCAGGTTGGGACCAGCAGGAGGCATGGTGGTTAAGGCGCTGGACACTCCCACATGGCTGACCATGGTTCAAGTCCTGCATCTGGCAGCTTACTTTCTCACTTTCTCTCTCTCTCTCTCTCTCTCTCTCTGCTCAAATTAAAATAAATGAATGAATAAATAAAATTAAATAAAATAATTCTTTTAAAAAAATACATTCAGGACTCTGGACTAGTAGTTAAGGAAGCTAGATCCCATATGACCAGTTGTGAGTCTAATCCTGGCTTAAAGAACATGCTAGGCACATATGTGTACATGGCCAAAACCATAACGAGATGAAGAGGCGGAGAAGGGATTTCTACTTGACCACACCGTTTTGGCAGGTGCTTTCTCCCTCTCTGTCTCTGTGACACGTGCACATACCCTGTTGAAATCAATCAATCAATCCATTAATTTCATTAAAAATTTACTTTAGGGCATGGTGGCGCCCGCCCTATGGTAAAAACTTACTTTGAAAGAAAATATAAATTTTATAATATGAAAATATAACCTAGTGTATAGTTGTTTTCTCAAGAAAATGTCTAGATTTAGGTGGGAGGTCCTTTGACAGTGCCAAAGGATTTTGTGGACTGATAGTTATGAGAAATATGTTTTGAAGACTAGACCTTTTTCCTATCCCTGCCCCCATATTGCAGAGAGGTTATCATATTATAACCTTCTTGTTTTTTTCTTTTTCTCTCCACCCCTCTGTTTTAAAGGCTGGTGGAATAGCAGGTGTCTCTGTTGACTTGATATTATTTCCACTGGATACCATTAAAACCAGGCTGCAGAGTCCCCAAGGATTTATAAAGGCTGGTGGTTTTCATGGAATATATGCCGGTGTTCCTTCTGCTGCTATTGGATCCTTCCCCAACGGTAAAGATTACATTTTTGTTCTCATTGCTGTAAAGCCAAGGTGATGGGATTTATTTTCATCATGGTGCATGGTTTTATCCCACATAGAATTCCTAATGTGTTGTAGTTTATCTTCTGTGTTCATTTTTTATTTGTTAACCCTTTAGTTTTGAATCAGCTAATGATACAGATTCTGATCCAGTATACCAATAATAGAAAAAAATAAACAATTTTAAAAACTGGTTTTTGTTGTTAAAATTCCTAGTTACAATCTTTAAAATATTACTTTAACATTGCTTTTGATTCCTTAGCGCTGTGGTTCTCAACCTTGCCTGCACATTGGGTTCTCTTGGGAAGCTTTCAGTAATACAGGTCTCCATGTCTCATCCTCAGAAGTTTAATTGGTTTGGGCTTTGCCTAGGTATGGGGACAGAGAGGGGCTTAATAGCATCCCAGGTGATTCCAGTGTGAAGCCACCTTCGATAACCAGTGCCTTGGAGTTTCTTGTGGAGCAGGTGAACCTGAGAGGCATTAAAATAACTCTCAACTAAACTGCTCTTAGATGATGCAAGTTTTTTTTCCACTAATCTCCTCTTGGACACTCTTCTTGCAGTGTCTTTTGTTTTGGTTCTGAAGTCAAGTTAAGTGACTTCTGGCCGCCTTATTCATGATTAAGGTGATCTTTGTTTTAACTTGCGCAAAGGCTCACAGAGAACCTTATGGTGTCATCATTTCCAACTCATAGAGGCCTTCTTGGGTGCCTTCCAGGGCATGGTGGGAGGTTTCAAACTTGTGATTCCTAAAGGACTGTGTGTCACAAAAGTAGCCACGAAGTCAGACAAATGTGATGTTGTTAACTGTGAAACCCAGGAACTTTTAGCACTCCTACTCCCTTTCCCCAGGAAATGAGGGGGCGAGGCTGGGTGGGGGAATGGAACATGCTGGCAGAACTTAGAGCTGAGTCCAAGTGGAGCTCTTGTAGCCATAGGTTCAGTGAGTGAAACAGAGCTGGAAAAGCCACATGAAGAACCACTACTAGGTGGGACCAGCAGTTAGCGTAATGGCTATGTCGCTGGACTCCCACGTAGTCGACCGCAGTTCGAGTCCCGGACCTGTTGGCTTAAACTCACGCTGGGCTCGTGTACGTGCGTGCCCAAGATCCCGAGAGGAGAATGGAGGAGAAAGGATTGCGGTGTGGCCAACCCCCCTGGGGGGTGATTTTTCGCTTTCTGTCTCTGTCTGTCTGGCGAGTGCATGCGCCCTATAGCAAAAAAGCCTCTCCAAAAAAAAAAAAAGAAAAAAGAAAAAAACTCTAAAACTTAGATAATGCCAACACAGTAAATGTGCTTGGTAATTTTTGAGTATTTTTTATTACCAAAACCACTAGGGAAATGTTTAATTTTAGTGAAAAGGGCTCAGGAATACTAAACTTCCTAAAATGTGTAGGACAGGTCCTTCATAATAGCTACTATTATAACTATGCCACTCAAAATGCCCATAGTGCTTCTGTGAGAGAGTGTTTCACCAATATTTATCAAAGTATGTACTGTGGAACATTTTAGTACTAAGAAAGTCTATTAGAACAAGAGAAAGAAAGAAAGAAAGAAAGAAAGAAAGAAAGAAAGAAAGAAAGAAAGAAAGAAAGAAACCCACACATACATGGACAACTAATTTTCAAAAAAGATGCTAAGAACAGGCAATGCAAAAAAAGATAGTTCCTGCCGGCCAGTAGGTAGTGTAGTGGTTGTGGTGCTGGACTCCCACATGGCCAACTGTAGTTCAAGTCTGGGACCTGGCAGCTTGAAACTTACTCTGGGTGCATGTGCATGTGTGCCCAAAATCCCAAGAGGAGAATGGAGAAGGGATTGCAGCCCATATCCCCTAAGGGGTGATTTTTTTTTTT